CTTAAAGACCACCCAGTTTCACCCCCCTGCCATGGGCAGGGACACTTCCCACTAGAGCAAGTTGCTCCAAGCCCTGTCCAGCCTGGCCTTGGACACTTCCAGGGATGGGAAGCTCCTCTGGGCAAATTGAGCCCAGCTCTCCGTACAGCAAGAAATGCAAAAATATGAAATCAGCTTCTGGCTGCTGTGAAAATCCACCCAGCACTGGGAGCTGCAGAACAAACCGATTTCAGACAAAGAGCTGCTGGAAATACACACAAATACAGAATGGTTTTTGTTGGAAGGGACCACCCTAAACCCACCCTCCTGCAGCAGATCCCCATCCTGACCCCACACACATCACAATGCTCGTGGCAAAGGAGAGACTGAACGCCCTGCCCAGTGCCAGAGTCCCTTCCCTCCAACATCCAGGGCTAATTTAGTATAGAAAGACACACTGAAATTAATTTATTTCTATTTCTTTCTTCTGGCCTAAGCAGCTCCCCTCCCACTTTTTCCAGACTGATCCATCAGAAAATGAGCCCTGCTAATGCTCCATGCCAACCGCTGAGATAAAAGCCAGCCCTTGGCTTCCAGGAGGCTCCAGGTTGCTCCAGCCCTTCCAAGAGGGGCATCACTTCAAGGGCAGGGATGTGGGTACCTGCTGGGAACTGGAGCATCGCCCCAAGGACAGGGATTTGGGGGCCCACTGGGGACCAGCAGATGCTCGGGGCATCCACTGCCCCCTCCCCTGAGCACATGGAGATCCAGGACCAGTCTTGGTGAACCCAAACCGTGGTCACTGTTCCTCTGCATGGCAGGAACACAGCTCCCCTCCTCCTGCAAAGTTCAGCTCGCTGCACGAGGCACAGGCGGCCACCCAGGGCCGATGGAAGGTGCACACACAAACACAACCAAATCTCATGATAAAAAAGAATAAAATGTTATACACTGTTGATTCCACCCCCTGAGTAGCACAGGGCTGAGTGTAATCAAGAAGTCCTTAGAGCTCAGGGCCACCGGTGGCAGGATTTATTGACAGCACAGCGGCCGCCCCGGCGGGCACATTAACTGGGCACGGCCAAGGCTGGAGCTCAGAGCTCGGAGCCTCCCGAGGGGACTGCGGCGGGGGGAGCAGCAGAAGCCCCGGGCACAGCGGTGAGAACGGGTGGGCATCAAAGCTGAACCTTCAAAGGAGACAGTGCCTGTGTCGGCTGCCTGCTCGGGGAGCCCGCAGCTGTGCCGAAGCACCGGGGCGGGCTCCCTCCTGCTCCTCCTCTTCCAGCAGCACCAAACTCGGTGCCAGGAGGATGGGTGCTGGTCTGCTCCCCCTCCTCGGGGCAGAGAGTGAGAAGCGACACCTCAACACCCCTCGGAGAACGAGAAGAGAAGCCGCCCTGCTCTGAACTCCACCAGAACGTGAAGTTTCATCCCCCCGATTAACACAGAAACCATCCCCCCTGCTAATGCAAAGAAGCTCATTAGCACCTTTTCCCAGGGAAAAAAGGCTCATCCTTAATTTTTTTTTTCCCTTTTATGTTCTTCTCCTTTCAGGTCCAATTAGTACAAAAATCTTCACCTGCCCGACCCTGCAAAGCTGGGGGCTGTGAGCAGCGGGCTGGGCAGCCCCAGGAGCCCAGATGTCATCGGGGACAGGGACACGGTGGGCTCCACGAGGCCCTTTGGCTTCTCTGCTTTGGCAAGACCTTCCTCCTGTTACTCGGCTGTCACGACAGGACAGAAGTCCCACTGGCTGCTCAGCTTGGATTTCTGTTGAGGTTTCTGCAGCGTTGCCAAAATTACAGCAAGAGGCAGCTCCTTCCGTGGCGCTGAGAAAAAGGGGATTCACACCCCCGAGGGCTAAACCTGCTCTTTTCCAGGAGCCCCTTCTCCCTGGAATCTGAACATATGAAGGCAGGAAAGCACACACGACCAGCCCAGGGAGCTGCTGTGCCCTCACCAGTGGGGATCTGTGGGCACAGCTCGTGAAAAGGAATAATTAAGCCCCTCCTTACCTAGTAATGGCTGGAACCCCTGAAGGTGACAACTGAGACCCAGACAGCAGAGACAGGGAGGGGTTTGCCCCCCAGCCCAGGGTTTTCTCCTCGGGGGGAAACAACACAGTAACTCCAAGGATGTTTCTGTCACTCCAAGTGACCCCCTGCTCAGGACCCCGCACCCACAGCATGGGGAGAGGTCACCCCAGCAGTGCACCCCCTGACAAATCCTCTGCTGTGGATACCCTGGCACTGTCCCGGCTGAATGATGAGGGCTGGAATTTTCTCCTACCCCTTTCACAGGAAAGAATGTTGAGGACTTGACACCTCCAAAGCTTGAAGCCAACAAGTGCCATTTTGATGCCTTTTTTAAGACTACAATCATCTTTATTTGCCCAGCATCAGTGGTTTGTTTTCCAAATATATTCAGATCAACATCCTTCTTTGTTTAAGAGATGATGATAAACAAACACAGTGCGGGAGGCTCTCCCTCACATCAAACAGTAGGAGGGAACAAACCTCGGGGGCTATTAGGAATCGTAATGCCAGATTAATTTTAAATGGATTTCTATTCATTTACATACACTCAGGCCTATGTAATCCATTAGCTTTGCGTGCATCTAATGGTTTGACATCCCTGAAAATGAGCAGTGGATCCTGGACCCCCTGGGACCAGGGGGTGGTTTGGGAGAGGAGGCAGAGAGCGGCTGGGCGGGCACAGGGGCTGCTCATCCCATCCCAGGGAGCCTGCAGGGACCAAGTGGCAAGAAGAAGAGTGGAGATGACCCCCAAAACAATGTCAGGAGTTGGGCAGCTCCGTCCCCACGGTATCCCCAGCTGGGATGGGATCCAGGGTCCCGGCAGGTCCCGGCTCCCGCAGCCAAACAAGGTCACACGTGCACAGGAGCGCAGCTGCCACACGCGCTGGCCTTGGGGAGAGGCCTGCGGTCTCTGCTGCCAGCAAGGCTCAGAGACTGCCACAAACCCTGCCAAACGCCCCTAAAGCACCAAAATAAACGCTCTGTGCTCACTCAGCACCTCCAAAACCGGCTGAGAGAGCTCATCAAACCCCGGCGACGCCCTCCCACCCCAGCCCTCCTCGCCTAAAACAGCCTCACCCCCTTCAGCCAGCAAAGCCCAAGCAAATTCGGGAATTTCGGAGAGAAGGAGCTGCCATGTAAGAGTTTTCTTATTAGAAAGACACAAATTAAAACCAGCAGAAGCCTCCAGCGTTGCCACCCTGGAGCATCATCTGCGCCCCGGTGCCAATGGCGAGAGGGACAATTACACAGCACCTGCAAACGGGATTATCTTAATGGGAACAGAGATGCACATCAAAAAACTATTTCCACGGCCCCCAAAAATTATGAGTGCCTTAAAAGGATGATAATAATGAGTTTTAGGGCATACACATGATCTTCTCCACTGCATAATCTGCCCATTTCAGAGCAATGTAGCTCTAGCAGCTCTGTTAGAGAAGTAAATTAACCCTAATTTGATTGCTTCTCAGTAACAGTCGTTTCAGTGCTCTAATCAATAAGTCACAGGGTTTTACGACTGCCCTTGGTATATCAATCATTGCAATCAGTAATAAAACGCTTTTCATTTGAAGAACACCTGAAATACTGTGTAATTACCTTTGTATAAAATTACAGACTCCAATTTACCCATTTCACCTGCTGCAGCCGACAGCCTCGCTCGGCACCAAACATCATTTCCTTCCCGAAGGCTTTCTGAGCCGTCCTTCATCCATCCCTTCCCCTTGTCACTGCAGCAGCGAGGTATTACTCACACCCCACAAAACAGCAGGTTACGAGAGACACCCATCTCCCAGAAATCCCTCAAGAAAGGGAGAGATCCAAGATCATCCTGCTGGGAAAAGGCATCACCACCAGCCCTTCACTGCACCCACTGCGAAAGCACCGCCACGGAGCCAAATCCATGGCACGGTGAGACGAGGCAGCCGGCGCCCTGGGAGCAGGGCAGGCAGGGCAGAGCACCTGCCCAGGAGCCTGTGGCACCAGCCAGACATCTTGGGGGGGGACAAACTCGCAGTCTGGGGAGAGCAGACGGTCAGGGGACTGGTGAGGGATGGGCAGCCCAGCCAGGAGTGCTGCTGCTCTGGGGGCAAGAGCTGCCTCATGTGCCCTGCACAACTGCAGAACACCTCCTTTGATGCCATCTCTGTAAAGTCACTGTCCCACTCCTCTGCTGTACCACCCCTGGGGTGGCAGCACCACACACCCCCTTCACCAGGGGCAGCCTGGACCACGCTGTCCCCAGACAGCCACAAGGTACTGATGGGGAAACACGGCCAAGGGAAGGTTTCAAGATCCCCAGCCAGCACTACAGTGTTCCTGCCTGGCCAGGGATGCTCTGGGCACACCAGGCCATTGCAGGGCATGACGTGTCTCCCCTTCTGCCCCCTCAGCCCCCCCATTATCCCCTCAGATTCCTCACTGGAGCCATACAGCTCCGACACACTGACTGCAGGACTCTCCCAGCACTGGGATGCTCCAGTCACTGCCAACAAAACAGACATTTCAGAGACCCCTCAGCACAACACACACCCCCAAGCCAGAGGGAGCAGGGACACCTGGCACCAGACCCCCATGTCAGCACCCCAAAGCTGCGCTAAGAGATGTTTCCAGGGGATTCTGGTTCAGTCAGTTTTGAGTTTGTTGTTTCAAGAAAAAAAAACAAACAAACAAATAACTCTTATAAACACTGAAAACGACTTAGGGAAATATTTTCCCTGGCAGATGTCAGGCCTCAGCAGTTCTTACAGGAATCATCCCCGGGATCCTGAGCAGAGGAGACGCTCCCCCATCCCCGTGCAAAGCTGTAACAAAGCGACTGCTGTGCTGCCTCCACTGCCATCAGACAGAGCCCGAGGTGGAGCTGACACGGGTCAGGGGGATGAGGTTTAAGTCCTTGGAGCAACATTTAGTTACTCCTCTGCAAAATCCATCCCTCACCTGCCAGACCCCCAGGCAGGGCCCGAGAGGCGCCCTGGGCACTTACCCTGAAGTCGATTCCCACCGTGGAGATGAAGCTGCCGGCCAGGAAGGCGCCGTCTTTGAACCGCACCAGCAGGCAGGTCTTGCCGACCCCAGAGTCACCCACCAGCATCACCTGGGAGGGAGGGAAGGGGGTTAGACTCCGGGTTTTGGGAAGGAAGGCCCCTGCAGCCATTACCCAGCTCCATCCCAGGAGCGGGCAGCAGATCCCACATGCTTGAGGGGAACAAAGCACATCCAAGAGTGATGGACCCAGGGGAGGGTTCAGGGGCAAAGGAGGCACTCATAGCAGAATTATTCCCCATCCTGCACTATGTGTGTCCCTGAGCACTAGCTCGAGGCACCTTACCCCAAGCTGTACCTAACAAGTCCTTCATGGGGGCACAAACACCCCCTGAAAACCAAGAGGTGCCAGCTGGGTGGCACAAGCTGTAACCCGATGGCTGCAGGGCCCACGGGTTCCCAGAACACCCACAAAACACCCCACCACTGTGGGGCTTTCTGGGAGGGTGGCACTGCCCATGGGGAGACTTCATAGGGTCCCCAACCATAAGTGCCAGCTCCAGGGGTGCATCAGCCCTCTGCAAGCAACTTGCTTCCGTGGGACCCACACGTGCCCACAGCTGCCCCCCCTGGTCCTCCGTGGATGCCAAGGGAGCAGGTCCTGGTGCCACCTGCCTCAGTTTCCCCACCCAGCAGCCACTCTGGAGGTGCAGACAGGGCAGGCACCCCCTGCCACAAAGAGACCAGGGCAGAGCTGAGCCTGCTCCCACATGCAGCTCTCCAAAACCTCTGCCCCAACCAACAGCCCCCTGCCCCCCGGGGCACCGAGCCCTCTCCCCTCAGCAGGATGACAGCTTCCCACCACCGAGAAATCTGGGACCATGGAGCTGCCTGAGCTCCTTCTGCACTGGCCACGGCAGGTTCCCTCTCTCCCAAGGTGCTCCCATCAGGCCATGACGGGAATTAAATGGCTTTGAGGCAGGGACTGCCCTGGGTCACACCAAACCCTCCCAGGAGCCACCCAAAGGGGCAAACGCCACCATGGCTCTGCCTGAGAGGTGGCAGCAGCCCCGGGTGCAGGTGTAGCTCGTTTTGGGGCAGGAGGGCTCTGCCCAGGAGGGCAGGATGCAGCCACAGTGCAGAGCCCCACACTGGCATCCCACAGGAGCACCACACACCGAGCCCTGGCACAAGGGGGTGAGGGCAGCCAGAGAGCCACGGCTGTATCGGTGCAAAGCCAAGGGAAGGGGGAAAAGTCAATTTTAGTACTAAATATTGGGGGGCTTTTAACTTTTCAGACCTCTCTCTGAAACAGGGGACCCTCAACAGCAGTTTCTCCCCTCTCAGCATCACCAGTGCCTCACCAGGCATGCACAGTGCCCGGGGCCAGGATGCAGCCCCATGCACAGGACTTGCATTTGGCCACTGCCTCGGGCACAGCTCAGGAGCCTCAGAAGAGGGGCAAGGGAAGGAGAAAGTTTAACAGACCAGGGTTTTACTGGATATACAAAGCAATTTCTCTCTGCCACTGGTTCAGAATCAGCCAGACCATTAGCAGAGGTTTTGGCTAACTGGGGCATTTGGGCTTCTCTGAGACCCATCTGGCTCATCCGTGTGCCATGGGGACAAGTCCCAGGGAAAGCCACAGCCTGGGCAGGCAGAGGTGAGCTCCAGGAGCCAGGGACCAGCGCAAACACGGAGGTGGCTCCATTTTAGGGAAGCTGTTAAACCATCACTGCAGCTGTATCAGGACCAACCGCCTACCAAAGCAACCAAACCCACTTCTGGAACACCCCTCACCTCCTACCCCACATCCCAGTCCTTAACACGATGGCCACACTGACTGCCACCGGCACTGAGCTCTCGACACCGCACAGCGAGGTAGGACCTGCCCCAGCAAAGCCGTGTTCTCCAGGCTCAGTCCCCCACGCTCGGCTACAGAGATCCGTGTTAGAGACAGCCAGAGCGTCTGCACTGAGTCGTGGCCTCAGGCAAAATCACTAAATGAGCCCCAGTATTGATAACTGAGTCCTAAAAAGATCTAGTGAGCTTCAAGCTGGGCTTACATCAGCTCGAATGATGAAATGGGGGGGGATGCAAATTAATTTGTTCTGTGACTCTCTCGGCAGGATTTGAAGCAGGGAGAAGAAGCCATCTGAGCCCAGAAAGCTAGAGACATCTCAGCAGCAGCCAGAGCAGACTCGATGCCACCCGAGGGGTGCCATCACCTCGCTCACAGCCCGTTTTCTGTAGGTTAAGGAGGAGCCGGGAGGCCACAGCAACTCCCCGGAGCAGCCTTTGACCATCACTTGCACAAGTCCCGCAGCAGCAGCCCCACTGCCGGGGGGCTCTGCGAGCGCAACCCCCGCTGACCCCGACCCTGCCGCCACGGGAGCCCCCGCGGAGACCCCGACCGGGTGGGCTGCGGAGGGACGGGATGCCGGGGCTGGGAGGGAGGGAGGGAAGCAGGGATGCAGGGATTCAGGGATGCGAGGATTCAGGGATGCCCGCCCGGTCCTGACCCCGGGAACTTCGGGGACGCTACAACCGACCCCGCACCCGCCTGACCCCGCGCCCCGGGCTGCCGGCGCCCTCCCCGCAGCACCCCCGGCCCCCGCACCTTGAAGGCGAGGTCGTAGAACTCTCCGCTGCTGCTCAGCGAGGGCCGCCCGGCTGCCGCGCCGCCGTTGCGGGGCAGCTCGGGGGCGGTGGCGGAGCTGCCCCGGGGCGCGGCGGCGGCGGCCCGGGGGGTGCCCTGTGCCGGGGGCAGCGCTGCCGAGGGCGCGGCACCGCCGCCTTTGCCACGAGCCGCCTTCTTGCGCGACATCGCGGGCCGGGGCCGCGGCCGCGCCGGGCGAGGGGGCGCGGGAGCCGCCGCCGCCCGGCCCCGCCCCCCGCGCCACTCCGCCAATGGCAGCGCCGAGCGGCCGCCAAGGGGCGTGGTCTGTGTCATGGCCACGCCCCTCCCGCGCCCCGCAGCGCCGGGACCGGGGGGGGATCGGGGGGTACCGGGGGGTACCGGGGGGTACCGGGGGAGACCTGGGGGGATCGGGGGGAAGCGGGGGCTGGGATTGGGGTGCGCGGGCTCTGCGGGAGCGAAGGGAGCCGCAAAGGTTGGGGTCACGGGCACCGGGGATGCCCGCACGCCGGGGATCAGCGCGGGGCCCCCCACGCTGCCCCCGCGCGCTCCATCCCTGGTGCGGCTCCCCAGCGCGGTTTGGGGTCCGTCCCGTTTAGGGGTTCCATCTTGTTCGGGTTTGCCACAGTGCGGGGCGGCCACGCGAGGCAGACACGGACCCCCTGCTGCTGGCAGCATCCCTCGAGGAATGCGGTGTGAGGGGGTCGTGGAGCAAGGTCGAGGCCACTGCGGGGACACGGCGTGGGGAGGGGAGCCCAGGTTCCCCCGGTCTGTCTCAGCAACTAATTTCAACGAGCAACACTTGGCATCTCTCTCTGCCCACAAATGTCACCCGAGGCGCTGGCGGGTCTCTCAGCCGGAATAAATGTCTTCAGCTCTGTGACAGATTCCAGTAGTGCAGCCTCGGCCTGCCTGTGAAGGGGGGCTTCAACAGGCTCGGCAGAGCAGGACTGGGAAATAAATCGCTGTGGTGAGAAGCCAGGCAGGCAAACGGTGAGGATGGAATAGGTGACAGCACTGGCACGGGGAGGTGACAGCGGGATCAGCATCCCAGCGATCCCTGGGGGCAGCACCGGAGCTCAGGTGACAGCCCTGAGGATGCTGAGGGGTCATTCTCACTGTGGCCATAGATGAGATTTTTCCCTTTGGGAGTATTTAAAATCTACAGTTAATCCCTTCTCGAGGGTTCTGAAGCACCCCAGGGGAGGAGCAGGAGGAACAGGGCTCTGATGGATTTGGCCATGGACAAGGAGAGTGGGCCAGCAGCTTCTGTGCGTGGCTCCTGGGAGAGACCCCCCTTCTCCCACCCTGAGTCTCGGGCATGGCCACGGCTGTCACAGGCTCCAGGGAATGCTGAGGAGCTCTGTGTCTGCAGCACTCCTCCAACACAGCTGAGGCTGAAGGAAAAGCTGTCACGGTGGAGGCTCATCTTCCCACTTCCCTTCATGTGCTCCTGATCCCAACCATCTAGCTGGGAGACAGAAGACCTTCCTGGCGGAGCAGACTGGATGCCAGGGTTTTGCACTATAATCTGATTTCCTGGGACAGCTGCAGTCAATAGAGGCTGAGGCCTCGGAGCAAAGTGCGGTGCTGGAACCATCTTTGGGGCTGCAGGTTTTAACCAGCCCCTGTGCTGTGGCCATGGTGTAGCTTCTCCCAGTGGTACCTGCCTGAAAGGAAGGGGGTACCCAGCCCTGGCACCTCTGTGTGCCTTCAGGGCACACCCTCACAGGCTGCCTTGCTGCTGCACAAGGATTTTCCCCTCTCCCATCCCCAGTTGATGACGATGGAAATCCCAATCAACAGCTCGGGAGCAAACAAAGCCAGCTGCTTATCGTGGCCGCATCAGGGCAACGCCGGAGGAGATGGCCCCTTATCAGCGCCAGCAGCTGGCAAGCGGGCCTGGAAAATTCTGCCTGTACCAAAGGTCGTGTGCTCCAGTGGCTGCAGCAGGGCTGATCCCCACGGCCCCTGGGCCCCCAAAATCAGAGCTCAGAGCGGCGAGAGGCATCTCCAGCAAGTTCCTCTCCTGTAGGAAAGGCGTGTGCAGAGACGCAGCCTGCTCAGAATCGCAGTCACGCCTGGAGATGTTGCTCCTCATATAGTTACAGGAACTAATCAGATAACGGCAGCTGAACTAAGGGGGATATATTTGCTAAAAATAGCTTAATGGAACAACAGACGCCTGGAGATGCGGCGTGCCTGGGGGAAGCAGGGCTGGCAGGGCTCTGAGCGGGGCTGGCCGTGCCAGTGGCTGCCTGGTGCTCACAGCCATCTACGTATTTGTAAATTTGTTTTTAAGGGTAGAAAATCGGCTCGTCCACACCAGGTGGTCAAGGTAAGAGGGATGCTGTGCTGCCGTATGGGGGGCTGTGAATGCAAGCACGGACAGGCATCTGGTGCCACCAGTGCCACCTGTGCCAACGGCCATGGGGACAGCACCTGCCCTTGGCTCAGCCACCCCTGCTGGGGGACAGAGCTCTGCACGGGGCTGGAGACGCGATGAGCCCGCCTGGGGCCGAGCACCGCGCTCTGCCCAGCTGCTCTGCACAAACACTCTGCTTCGGGGGTTGAAATCTGGCTGTTTTCTTTGGCACGGGGCCTCCCAGGGTTCTGTGTGCCAGCAGTTGCGCGCCGTGCTCAGAGCCAAGCGAGATATTTCGGTGCGAGGCCATCTCTCCCTCCTCCCGCTGGCCCAGGTGGTTCCATGGCTCGTGCTGCAGCTGCCCCCGCGCTCCCTCAGCTGCTCCAGCCCCTGCTCCTGGTCAGGATGGAGCCATTCCTCTCTGGGCAGTCTGGGAGCCCGCCGAGCCTGCTCTCCTCCTGGTCCCAGCTCCTGGTGCCAGCTGGGATGGAGCAGAGGAGTCTCTCCAGCAGGCAGGCTGCAAGGACGAGCTATTCCCATCAGACACCATGTCGGCTGCGCCAGCTTGGAAGATATTCATCTTCCTTGCCTGGTGGCTGTAAGAAAGATGGTGCAGGCTCTTTCCACGTGCTCCTCATTGTGCCTCTGCTGTCACGCACTGCAGTGCCACCAGCCAGAGGTCAGGGGGCTTCTCTGACCCCCTGTACTGGGCACTGGTGAGGCTTAACCTTGAATCCTGGGATCAGTTTTGGGCCCCTCAAAAAAAGAAAGACATTGAGGCATTGAGGGGTGGGAGCGTGTCCAGAGAACGGAGCAGAGTTGGGGAAGGGGCTGGAGCAGCAGGAGGGACTGAGGGAGCTGAGGGGGCTCAGCCTGGAGAAAAGGAGGCTCAGGGGGGACCTTCTGGCTCTGCAACTCCCTGACAGGAGCGGGGAGCCTTGGAGAGTTGGGCTCTGCTCCCAGGGAACGGGGACAGGAGGAAAGGGAATGGCCTCAAGTTGTGCCAGGGGAGGGTCAGGTTGGATATTGGGAAAATTTCTTCATACAAAGGACTGTCCAGCCCTGGCACAGCTGCCCAGGGCAGGGATGGAGTCCCCATCCCTGGAGGGGTTTAAAAGCAGCTGGGGCCATGGGTTAGTGGTGGCCTTGGCAGTGCTGGGGGATGTTGGACTCAGTGATCTTGGGGGGATTTTCCAACCCAAACAATTCTGTGACTCTCCTAATCACATGTAACTCTGCCAGCTCTTCCTGCTCTCTGTTCAGCTCCAGGTCCTCTGCCAAGGGCACACACAGCTCTGGCTCCAGAGTGGCTGAAGAGGAAGAGCCTGAGGGCAGTGGGCATCACCTGGATGGGAGGTGCAGGAGGGCAGCTGGGGACAAAAGTGACACCAAGCTCACAGGGCTGACTCAAGAATACAGAGATCATGATTTCACGTTGCAGATGAGCAGTCACCCATCAGAGATGTCAGACAGAGGGGACAGCTCTGCTGCAGCCAGCAGCTCCCCAGAGAGCAGAGCCAGGGAGGCAGGGAAGGGTGCACAGGGCACGGGACTCGGGCTGGAGCTGGACCCCAGCACCCTGCCAGGCACAGCAGGAGAGGGCTCTGCCACCTTGGGAAGGGCCCAGCCCACGCAGCGCTGAGCAGGCACCGTTCCCTCCCTCGCCAGTTATTGTTCTTCCCTCCCCACCGCTCACTTACCTCCCAACACTTCAATCTCATCGCCTTTGTCAGTGTCGCTGCCTTTTAATTGAAATTCCTCAGACATCTCCTCATCAGCACAGCCCATCAACTAGTTTTGTGTGGGAAGTCATTGTTTTCCCTCTGCAGCTGGGAAAGTTAAATTCCAGCGTTTTGCTGGGAGACTGCTTTTGTCTCTTCCCTTTCTTACGTTGCCAAGCCCAATCTTACATTGCAACCTCCTTCCTTTGTCTGGATATTCCATTTTCCATCTCTCCTCCACACAGTCCCTCTGGTTCCATCTCAGGCTCCTCCACTTCTCTGGTCCATCCCTGGTGGCAGTTCCCACCTGTGGCTCCCTCCAGCCTCTCATTGCCAAGGTTTTCCTGCAAAGCACCCGGGAGGTTTGGAGAGCCCAGCCTGTCACTAAGTCTTTGTTTCTTGGTGCTCAGATCCACAATAGCTCCACACAAAGGTTTGGACACCACAGAGCTGGGCAGTTACTGAAGTCTCAGCACGTGCAGCCCGGGGGCAGAGCTTGAGCACTCCTTCCCCCACCAAACCACCCCAATTAGCCCATTCTTCAAAGGACAAAGCCAA